TGATTTTGATTTGCAGTCATTCCAGTTTGTCCTCATTCTAATTTTCATTTCTTGACGGGTAAAGAATAAAGCGGGAAAGCAAGGAGCCCTAGTGGGGCAGTGGTTATAGCACTCAGTGGCTCAACAAAAGGTCAGCGGTTCAAACCCACCCAGGCACGCTTCAGGTGAAAGATGCAGCTGCTGTCTGCTTCGGTGAAGATTTGCGGCCTGGGAGACTCTAGGGTCGCTAGGATTTTCACTTGGCTCACGGGCAACAGGTTTGGTTTTGATTTCTGGAAGGAGTCTTGAAGGAGCCCTGGTGACAAATGTAGTCACCAAGGACTCAGCTGCAAACCCGAACAGTCAGTGTTTGAACCGCGTCGGCCACTCCACAGAAGACTGACGTGGAAGACTATCTATAAAGATCATGGCGGTGCAAATTCTCTGAGGCAGTTCTACCGTCCCGCAGGGGCACTATGGGTCAAAACCACCCTGGTGACCACAGGCTTGGTTTGGGTCTTTTCATCATCACCTAATAACCTCTCCCAAGGTGCTCTAGTGACCCTACCAGGTAGGCACTGGACTGCCGAAGCATGAGATCAGTGGTTCACATCCACCCAATTAAGCTTAGGCACCTGTGATTCACAGCCCCAGGGAACCTTCCGCGGGGTTGCCGTGAGTCAGAACCCACTTGACGGCAGTGGGTCTGTTTTGTTGTTGTTGTTGGAATGTTCTATTAACCAAAAAATACCTGTTGAGCACCTGCCCTGCACACCAAACACTATATAAGTCCTAAAGACCAGCCATCGACAACAATAAAACCCCACCCTGCTGCCATCTAAGCCACCCTCTCCAACCCTCCCCAAACCCAGGACCTCAGCTAGGTGAATGTGGGAGAGCTGGGCATCGCAGCAAAGGAAGAACATGAGCCCCCCTACTGGCAGAGCCACTTCTAAATAAACTCTTGCCTGCAGAGTGCTCTTCCCCTGCTGACTGGGCAAATGCACAAGGGCAGACGTCACTGTTTACCCCAGCCAGAAGTGGGCTTCATGGGGGAGGGGCGGGTTACTTGAGTTTTCTGGGAAGCGGAACTGAGTGAGATCAGCATCGGCGCTGGGACAGGAGAGTCCCACGTGGTTTCATTCCGCGGGAAACACACTTACTTCCCCTACGGCAGGCTGTCCCCTAAGCACAGATTTAACACTAGCAGTCAATTTCCCAAAACTCTTTTCTAGAGATTTAGTGTCTCCGTAGTCCCGAGGAAAGCCAGGACTTGGAGAATAGACAGGGTTGCTAAAAAGAAAATAAAAAAGAGGTGGGGAAATGATGTTGGACAGCACTCAGTATCATGTCCACACACAGGGTAGCATGACCGCAGTTAACCTCTGTTCATGTTACGGGAACGTGACGCCCTCAGAAGGGCAGGCCAATCACTCAAACCCAAGCCAAGTATCCCTGCCTGGTCCAGCTTTCAGGCTAGATGGAATACGGTGTTCAGAATGAAGTACGGGGACCCACTAGATAAGCACGCAAGTGACCAGGACATTCTTGTGTGTGACTCTGGGGTGGGGCAGTATAGAAACCTGTGAGCATTCATTCTGGGTAGAGATTTAATAGGGTCGTTAGTGTAAATCCAGAAAGGTCAAGTGACTTGTGGAAGTCACATCGTTAGGTTAAAGCCAGAACTCAAATCCTATAGTTGACAAAAAGAATAAGATGGTTAGTACACTTGAGTTTCTAAACACTTTTAATTTATGTTTATCAATGTATCAGGGTTAAATCTTTTAGAACTACTAAAGACTATAGTCATTGGTGAATTAAAATATATGTTATAATATCTATCCATCTACCTATCTATCCATTCCTCCATTGATCGATCCATCCCTCCATCTGTCTTTCTGCTGTGTGTTACTGAGCAGCACTGCTCCCCCGGTTTTCCGGCTGTCGTCTTGACAGAAGCTGCTCACCCAGCCTTTTCCCCCTGGAGCCACCAGGTGGGTTCAACATGCCCATTTTTCAGCTCACAGTTGACCGCAGGTCCCATCATTTATGAATAGAGCCTGGTGCCACTGGGCTCACTCAGACTCTTGGATAGTGTGTGTGTGTGTGTGTGTGTGTGTGTGTGTGTGTGTGTGTGT